AAGATCATTCAGTTGTTAGGGTGGTAAAGTTTTTACTATTAAACATATACTTCATTTTTTATTTTCCCCATGTTTAGGTGGTATGCATAAGTCTATGGGTGATTTTTCTATGATTTGACATGTTTTTGTCGAGCCTATTTAGATTGTTTGTAATGATGGTATTTTTTCTAGTGTTATAACAACTATAAAAGAAATTGAGGAGAAGGATTTTTATTTTGTTTCGAAATTGTTTCTAGGTATACCAGAAGTGAAATCATGTACTTTCTTTGATTTTCTTCTGAACCTATCATCTTCCTTAACCAATAGCAGGTTAAGTGTTTTGTCTTGATTTTGGAGAATGTTTCTTTGATTCTCATATAATTTTATTTTAGAGAAATTTTATTCTTACATGTTTTGTGAGAATGTTTTACCCAAATAACCCAATTTTTCAAAAAATATCCCAAAATAACCCACCTTTCAAAATTATTCCCAAAGTATCCCAAATAGGTTTTGGGATTACACAAGGGTTCCAAATGGATTGACAACACCTTGTTAAGGCTACAAGGGAGTCGCCAATTGGATTGGAGACTCCTCATGCAGTCTCCAATCCAATTGGCGACTTGGTCTTGAACTTACAAGAGAGTCGCCAATTCATCTGGAGACCCCTTGTATTTTGAATATTTTTCTATAAATAGAGGTATTCTGACCATTTAATTTCATATTTCATCTGATATCTTTATTCTGCTAATAACATGTATTGTCGTCGGTGGAGAAAATCGTCTATTTGAGAGAGAAGCCTCCGATGGACATGTTATTTTGGAACATACAAAGTTTCAATCAACTTAAGAGGGAGCTGAATCAGTGGTTGGAAGGAGACATTGTTGAAGGGGAAAGATCTATAGCATTGAGAGACTTGATCGGCTGTGTGGATGAGTTTGTGTTAAGACAGACAAAGATGCGAGGGAAGTCATGTTTGGACCGAATGAAATTAGTTTGATTGTTGTAATCAGTTAGGAATGTCGTAATCACCTAGTTAATTTTTTATGTTTTATGAAATTAGTATGTGTTTTGTGTTGTTAGTCTTGTTTGTTGTTAAGACCGTTGTAAAACAGACTCATCAATATATGAAAATATTTTGTTACAACAAATGAAACGATAAGCTAAATCATGATGTAGATGTACCTCCGACATTGGGACATTTTTTTCAGTTGTGTCCGGGCTGACGACATACACTTCACAATCTTATCATTTTATCAGCAGTATCCATTTCGGTTCTTATACACTTACTGTTTGGGCGTCCCTTTTTCTTTCTTCTCATGTCATCGTTGTGCCAAACTATGTCACCTTGGTATGGAGGCCAATAGTCCTCCATTGGTAGCACTGCAAGGCCTTCGTTATATACATTCATAAAATTAACCGCATTCTAAACATTAGATAGATAGCCATAAGCATCCTAACGAGCATGTGCGCATGCCGTAATGACATGTGAGCAAGGTACACAAAAGGTTTGGTACTTGCCACAGTCACACCAATATTTGTTTAGTCTAAAGGCATAGGATAAATTAGGCCCTCCTCATTATGGTCCATTGTTTCTTGTACACTAAATGTTTGCCTATGACGATCGAAGACTGTAACTGCATGTATGCTGGCTTTGATAGTATCCTCTTTCATAAATTTCATAATGCTTTCACTGAATACCTGACCGGACATTAACACTGCACTCCATCTCTCGCCTCTGGTTGTGAAAAGTGATGCCAACCTATAATATGTTGATCTCACCAAAGCAGTGATCAGAAGGTTTCAAATTCCTTTGAATACCCTGTTCATGGATTCCACAAGGTTTGTCGTCATGTGACCGCAATGACACCCACCATCAAAAGCCCTTGTCTACTTTTTGAGTGGAATGTTGTCTAACCAGCTTCCTGTATCTGCATTTGACATCCTAATTTCATTAAGGTAGTATTGAAATGTTAGTTGAGTTAGATCATACCCGACATTCACAACTTTTTTACGAAGGTTCTTGTCTTTGATAGCACGCATGAAGTTTTGTGCAATATGTCTAATGTAATACACATGGGTAGAAGGAGGATTATGCCACCCATTATCATGGTTATTATACGCACTCTATATAGAAGCATACATATCTGAAATCAAACAGAGGTTGGCTTGTAAAGCGACATGTGTTCTAAGATTCTTAAGGAAGAAACTCCAAGCAAATCAAAGGCTATGGGAAAGATATTACTGCTACCATCTTGTGCAACTGCCATAAGCAAGGTGCCCTTGTATTTTTCGTAGATTCATGTTCCATCAATTTGAATAACAGGTTTGCAAAATGCAAAACCTCTTATGCATGGTTGAAACGACCAAAAAAGACGGTGAAATATGACATTTCCATCAACAGTTGTTCCATCTGGCCTACATGCAGGCACTATCTGCATGATTGCAACAGTTCCTGGTGTGTATGTCTTTAGCACTACCAAAAATCACGGTATTTCTTTGTATGAATCCTCCCTGTTGCCAAAGACTTGTTCAAAAACCTTTGTCCTTGCAATCCACGCCTTCTTGTACGATGGAGTATAATTATACCGCGTTACGATATGAGAGATTATTATACTCACCTTGACTGAAGGATCCTTGTTAACAAGCGGCAAAATATCTTAGGGGAAACACATAAAGGCAATGTCGCAAATATCGCGACTTATGTAAGTGTTCATTGTTTCTCGTATATGTTTATTTTTAGTGATATTGTTAATTTTTTTTTACTCTTATAATTTTTTTAACTCTTCTAATTTTTAAGTCTAATATTTTTTTTACTATTATGTAGGAAGTTTCTATGAATATGTTGCACCCGACGAATTAATTAAACCATATATTGAGCTCGCCGGCTTCAGACATGTAAGAAAAATCATGTCTTATTCTGTTGATGCAAGGTTTATACTAGTTTTGCTAGAGAGATGGCGCCCAGAGACACACACCTAACATCTACAGATGTAAGGCCTCTAAACTACATCAATTTGTATTTTATATCAACTATTTAATGATCTAATATTTTTCTCTTCTTCAGTTCATATGGCATCAATATCTAAACATGAAACACCTACATGAAGTCAGACAGGAAGATGTTGTTGTTTGGACTGCATGCGTCCCGATCATCAGATTCACAACTGTTGAGATGCACAACAGTTACCGTGTCAAACTACAATTTGGAATGCATCAAAACATTCAAGATCCTCCTGTTAACATCAGTAAATGACATCTAAAAAGAGTTAATGATCAATGGGAGTTTCCCGACTGGAAGGATTTTGCAAAATCTGAGCATCGTAAATGGATGACCTGCAGCGCCCATGTCTTACGTGACCCGGTGATGGGAACACCATCTATACCAACTATTAATTATATGGCTTGGTACAGATTGGTTGCAACGGAGTTTGTCCCCGAAGACAGATATTTATACGACCCACGCCAAACCACCTACACACAAGACGTTTCAACGTCTAACCCACTAGAAAGGTCATGTTACTCACAGCCCCCACCCAACAGAGTTACCAACCCATTCACCATCCAAACATGCCAAACACCCAACCAAAATACCAAGAACGTCCCCCATACCATCTCCCACACACTAACTACTACCCAGAATCCCAATATGGCTATAGCCCTAACACAACATCCAGATATAACCATAACGAGGGTACATCATACCATAGCCATAACGCCCAAACATCTTTCCATAGCCAAAATGCTCCGACATCATACCCTGGCCTACCCACTCAGCCATCTCAACAATCTTATGCCTTTCAAACAACACTACCATTTCAACCTTTCTCCAACGAGTCGTTCACACCAATGTCCCCCTTCAACCGTCCAGACAGCACACCAATGACCCATTCATCACATCCGAACTACTCTGGCATGGGTCGCACGCTCAGTTTCAACTCACGTGACCTAATGAAAATGCAAGAGATCCTTCGGGAACCATCTGGGAATATTCTTGAGACTTCAACTCCTCAAACACCAGGCGTGAATCAACAACGTGGGGGACGAGCGCAACGAGTTAGGGTGCCTAAGGGATGTGGAACTGGTGGCTGGTATGACCAACACGGTCGCCAATATTAGTTTATGAAATACTTTTTTAAACTAAATGATATCATTTATTTTCCCGTCTGACGTATTTTATTAATTATTTTTGGAAGTATCTATTTTTTTTTATAAAAATTTCAAAATACAAGGGGTCTCTAGGTGAATTGGCGACTCCCTTGTAAGTTCAACGCCAAGTTGCCGATTGTATTGGAGACTGCATGGGGAGTCTTCAATCCAATTAGCGACTCACTTGTAGCTTTAACAAGGTGTCGTCAATCCATCTGACACCCTTGTGTAATCTCAAACCCTAAGTAGGGTACTTTGAAAATAATTTTAAAAGGTGAATTACTTGAAAAAAATTTAAAAAAAAAATTGAGTTATTTGAATAAAAAATTCGTTTCGTAATACCTATAAAACTATGGATTTATTTTCCCTATTATATATTATAATTATATTTTTCATTTTTCTTACATAAATAAGATATAATCATGTTTTATTTTGGATGGTGTAATATCAAAATAGCAACTCTCTTTCTATTATCATCAAAATTAAATAAGGGATCTTTTTATTACAAAGAAAATTACTTTCATGTTGTATATTACAAATTACAAGCCAAAAATCTTATGCAGTTAGTCTTTATTAAAGTGATTTGAATAGTAGTTTATATGTATTTCAACTTTAAAATTTCTTTCTGTACGTGATCGATTGAAAGCAAAATGTCATTTTCTGCTAAATGCTAATAACAAGAAGACAAGAACCTTACTGTTTTCTCATCTTTACATGTTTTAAAGATTTGATTGATTAATACAGACAAGCTACCATCCCCACTACCATGTAATGGTTCCCTATTGATTCCTACTTCCTTCCATTATATATAGACCACACTTTCTTACTATTTTCCTCATCCTTCACTACCAAATATCTCATTTCAATTGAACACAATGGATTCCAAAAGAGCAATCCTCATTCTTGGCCTATTGGCAATGGTTCTTATTTCCTCAGAGGTGTCAGCTAGGGAATTAACTGAAGGTGAGCTAGCTGTACATTATTTTTCATAATTTGAGCTTAACATATATATATATATATATATATATATATATATATATATATATATATATATATATATATATATATATATATATATATATATATATATATATATATATATATATATATATATATATATATATATATATATATATATATATATATATATATATATATATATATATATATATATATATATATATATATATATATATATATATATATATATATATATATATATATATATATATATATATATATATATATATATATATATATATATATATATATATATATATATATATATATATATATATATATATATATATATATATATATATATATATATATTATTTTGTAAAAATAATTTAAGATTTAAATTCAAATAATGTGTATTTGCAGAAGTTGCTGAAAAGTCAAATGAACTGAATGATGCCAAGTTTTTGGGTTTTCATCGACACCATCGCAGTCACCGTCATGACCATAGACACCGTCATGGCCATCGTGGTGGACATGGGGTTGATATCGACAATGGTAACTGAGAATACCATGATACATGATGCACATTCAAAGTATTAAATATCATAAATGAGTAGTGTTTGGTGTTAAATAAAAGAGGTATAGATACTCATCAATCTCGTGTGGTTATGTATTATCATTATATATGTGGAGAAGAGTTTAATTCGAATCAATGTGGTGAATGTGTGTTATCATTTGTAATATATGAAATATCATCATTATGTTAGTACTTCATCTCTTTTTAAATTTATTTATCCATACTAGTGATTTGTCCAAGTAAATTCGTCGAACATAATTAACCATGTATTATTCATAATAATACAATCTTTTTGTAATGAAAAGTCATGTATAAATCAAACTTCAATTTTGAATGCATCTTCTTTACCATGCACATAGTCTCACTTTAAATATTACTATAAATAATACATCTCACCTCAAACGTAAAATGAATTTACTTTGATTACGCCAAACGAGATAGCAAATGGCAACATAAAAACTAGTCACTTTACTCTTTGGTTATAAAAAAACAGAGGTTATAATAAAAAAAGTCATTGGTTCAATTCATAGCAACAACATATTTTTATTTTAAAAACTATGAAATGCACGTCACTTTACTTCTAGATTTTATTTAAAATTCGAGGTAATTAGCTATATTGGTATGTCGGTTTTATTTAATAACTGAGTTGTTAAATCATATCTATTGTCATATATAATTTATTATAAAGTTCATATTGACCACCTTGTATCATTGCTTTTACACAAAAACAAAATATTGACAGAATCATAATCAAATCATTTTAAATGCACAAATTTACATTGTTCTCATTAACATAGAATATAAGATTTACATTGTTTTTAAAATTAAATGTACAAATTTACACTATTTTTTATCAACGCAGTATACAAGATTTACATTGTGTTCAAAATCAAATGTATAAATTTACATTGTTCTCATCAATAAAAATACAAAATTTATATATATGTGCAACCAAAAAAAAAATATTGTTGTTGAGGTTCATAACAAAATAAGAAGACATCGGTCCAACGTGATCAGATCGCATCTATATCTTCTTGTAAATATGGTGATCTGTCGCTAAACTCCTATAATTAGAACAAAATTTGAATTATGATTAGCTAACGACAACAACATTAACTTAAAGAATATACATAAATTACATGTATATGGATTAAGCTAATACCTTATGATAAGTCCATCTATTTATTATGTTTCCGGAGATAATATAAAACATTTGTCTCATAATATAGTATCCACAAGAATAGTTTTGGGGTTGTTTTCACAATAATTGTCTACAAAATAATTTTCATACATTTATATCACTAATACACACAAATAAATGAATGTCAAAAAACACAAGTAATATACTTACTTTTGGATAATAGAACCTTCATTTTTTACTAAGTACATTATGTATAACTGCATTGTATCTCTCCACCACTCTACACATGTCGGATACAATTAAACATTAATAAAAACTATTAAAAATAAAGGTAACATTTGAGTATTAAAAATAATATCACTTACCCATTGAAATTGTTAATCATAATTTCTTAAAGTTCCTAATGCAACGAGCAAAACATAACTACAACATTTTACTTCTGACATATAATTATTAGTTGTCAATGATTACTAGATAAACATTCAGAATAGTTAACAATATAATTAAAATTAAATAAAAACACAAATTAATACTTACCGGAGGAAAAACGGGGCCAAATAACATTCTTTGTTCTAGTTCAACAACTTGTCTTGTACGTAAAACATGATGTTATTTGCTACCACACACCACCATGTAAGATAATGTGTGTTGGATATATGAAGCCAAACTTTCTTAAATTTTTTTTAACACACATCTCATGCAAGAACCCGCAAGAGTCAAATCTTTATGTTAACGTACGATAACATATGAATATAAATAGAAATTAATGTAAATATACTTACAAGAACCACAATTATAATATCGTATTGTCTAGCCATTCAGCCCCTTTAGAAATTTCATAATAAAAATCCTAGGGAGTACGATGTCTGGAATACTATCTAATATAATATAAAGTTTCTTAGTGTTATCAAGTTGTGGTGGTGTGGTTTAAATATTGTCCTGGTGGACACAAAAACTTTCTTTCGTACTCGTACCACGCATAACTTTATCATAAATGCACAAATGAGCATTTGAAATTGATTGGTTGAGTAGACCCAGCGAATTTAATTTATGTATCAAACAAATAATAGAAATAAAATACAAAAACCAAAATAAGCAACAAAAAAAAAAAAACAACATACCAAAAACAACAACATATAAAATTTCATCTTTATCGAATTCATTTATCTAAAATAAATATTGTTGAAAAAGTATCTACTTACCATCTTTTCAGTCACTTCGCATGTAGCCTCTAACGTGCTCTCTTTCATTTCTCATGGCATGATGGTGTAGATGGAGTGTGATAAAGGATTATAGAATCTACCAAATCTTATTCTCTTTGTTTTCTTTTTTTCAATCATCTTCTTTTCAATTTTTTTATACCCTCCACGAGACAACCTATGTAGATAGATATTTCTAGATCTATTATACTTTCCTTTTTTGCTTTTAGCCAAGAATTCAGGAATGGTGTTAGACTTTAAAAATTTCTCCCAAACTTCTTAATCAATAAATGAATGCATCAAGTACGGAGACTTATATTCAGGGTCATCTTCATCTCTTGGATTATTAATATAATCGCGGGCAAACTTTGTCGTAAACCCCTCACATGTTTGCACAATACAATGTTTACACAATACTATCATATGGACTAATATCAAACACCACACATGTTTACACAATACAATGTTTTTAGTATTAAATAAAAAATAAATGATCATATATACTTGCAAAACAAATCATAAAATTCAAAATAAACATTGTAACATTGGTCCATCACTAGTAGAAAAAATGCTTGTTAAGTCGGTTGAAAATGACTTTTTAAGTTGGGTCCGAAACTGACCTAAGAATTGCCAACATAAGAAGTTTTGACTTAAGTCGGATTTACACCTGACTTAAGAAAATTTTATTAGGTCGGTTTAACTACGTCCAACTTAATAAGTCTAGGTTTTCAGAAAGCCCTTATCGAATTTGTACCCGACTTAAGAACTTCTTTTCTTAAATAAGATATATTTAACCGACCTAAAACAAGTTTGTTTTTTTTCATATCACTTTTTTGGAATATCACACACACACAAACACACACACACACACACACACATATATACACACACACACACACACACACACACACACACACACACACACACACACACACACACACACACACACACACACACACACACACACACACACACACACACACACATATATATATATATATATATATATATATATATATATATATATATTTTAAGATTAACAACAACATAGTTTTGTACAGCTGATCCAAAATTCAAAAGTGCTAAGTTATAAATGTTAAGCTCGTCGGAAACTATTTTTAAAATAATGACAACACTATACTATGTAACGCAATTATTTAGTATAATCCAATCAAATTTCTTTCGATAATTGTTAAATTTTCCAATATGCTATATGCGTAAAATATATAAGCATTATTTACAAATTTTAATGCTATCAGAAGATGCTATTAAGAATTTGTTTGAAGAACTGAAACTATGCTAATAATTGCATAGTTTCAGAAGAACTGAAACTATGCTAATAATTGCGTAGACGGAAATAAACAATGAAGGATTGAAAAATTCAGCACGCTTGACCGATGTTTCATATGCCAACCAATAATCACTAGCCATCATAGATGCTTGCCACAACACAGAAAGAAAGAGTACCGCGAAAATCCATATCCATCCAAAAGCCTCGGTGCAGTAGAGTTTATAGATATTAAAGCTAACATTACCGGTTTCTCGTTCTTCTTCTTTGACAAGTTTAGAACTTCCCTTAGTTGAATTAGGTTGGTCAAGAAAATTACTTTCACCATTGGTTTCTCTTTTGTTGTTAGACAATGACTTAGATATCATAGGCTTATTCGAATTTTCACCAGGCATGGTTGCGCCTTGTTCTACAAGTTCCATAGAAGTCCCGTGTGCTGCTACCAGGATACCGAAATCTAATCCAGAATCAAGTAGGTCATTGTACCGACCTAATTGGACTATTGTTCCTTCCCTCATCACCTTTTAGCAAGAAAATATATATACATGTTAGAATAACTCATCGTTCACCAAGAATCATACACAGGACTTAAAAAAGAGACTTACCACGATACGATCGACATTATGTAAGAAGTCTACTTGGTGTGTTACATGAACTATAGTCTTTCCTTTCAGAGCTCCCCTCACACATTCTTGTAAAAAAGATAGATACGATTAAAGCTAGATATGTTTAACAATTTGATGATTATGAATGATTGAGAGGATAAGCACCTTAAATATTTCAGTGCATCCTAATGGTTGCCTCGACTCAGCCAAACTATTAGTATGGATTGATTAGGCTCGAAGCTATTGGTACTTTGCGACATAATGGTTGCCTCGACTCAGCCAAACTAAAAGATCATGAGAATAGAATTAAAGAAACACATAAAGCAAGAAAGTGCATTCTAATTTACATAAAGTAGTAACATTGAATCAATGATAGAGTATTTGAGAGAAAACAAGTTACAGGAATTCATCATCTCCTATGTCGTTGCTCATTAGACTTCTCTTTTCTTGATTTCCATTCCCTTTCTCTTCATTATAGTTGAATGGTTTCTACTCTTCAAAATCCTTACTAGCTACTACAGAAGAGCTCAGAAAATCATGCAAAAATTATTTCAATATCAGAAAGCTCCAGAAGGAGAAACAAACATAACAAACAACTTTATTTTTCATTCCAAAATTAAGTTAACAGAAAAAATGCTCATTGCTCACCACTTCCAGCCAAAGAAAAAGTGTGATCATTATGTTTCCTTTGCTATTGAATATTGCAGTCTCCATTTTCCTGCTACCAATGTGCACTTTAGATGCAAAAATTAT